TGGTCTGGCCTCATAAACAAAAGATTCAGTGGCTCAAAAACTGGATTAATCCTGTTGAATACCATGAAGATACATAGTATGAAAAAGTTTGGGCACCATTGTTATTTTTCATGTTTTCTCATTGGTTGTTTGGATTAAATTTTTTTTTAAATATATCATATAGCAGAACAACACAGTGATACTTGAGCTATGAAATGAAGTTTCAAGGATTTACAAAAAATGGGCATTCATTATTCAAAGAAAACTAATCTTGTGTATTTATTTAGGCACCCTTATCATTTTGTTTATTTGAATACCTTTAGAAATGATTATAGCAATCTAAAATTGGATTTGTAAACTCAGTGACCTTTGACCTCTAAACACAAGTGAATCCAATGATGCGAAATGGCATTTAAGGAGGCCAGTTGTGATTGGTCCTCCTTATTCTGTCTTTGAAGAGAAGCAACAAGAGAGCCTCAAACTGCTCTCAAATTAGGGAGAGATTGCTAAATGTCGTGATTTAGGTGAAGGATACAGAAGGAGTTTTATGCAGGAAAAAGAACCCAGCATTTAAAGAAAAACACCTACTTCCCACAACAAACTACTACAAAGAAGTGAGGAAGAATGCTCTAAAATAAACTTTAACCACAAACATGGCTCCTATTGGAAGCTGTAGGAGGCGTTTAGAGGCTGTTATTTCTGCAAAACGAAGATTTATTCAATTTAGTTGTTGTGGTGCCTAAATCTGTGCACCTGCCCTGCTTAAACTACTCATGCACATTTTCTGTAAATCTTAAGAACTTTATTTTACTTCTCAAATATCACTGTGTTGGCCCTGTGATGGACTGGCGGACAGTCCAGGGTGACCCCGCCTCTCGCCCATTGACCACTGGGATAGGCTCCAGCTCTCCACAGCTCAACCCCATTAGGGAATAAACAGTAACGATAATAGATGGATGGATGGATGGATGGATGGATGGATGGATGGATGGATGGATGGATGGATGGTTTTTATTCAAACAACCATTGATTTATAAAGGAAAATCATGAAAAATGACAAGAGTGCCCAATGCAACTGAAACTAATGGCATCCAAATGACGATTTTTAAATAGGTTGATATCATAGAGGAATCACGTTTTCATGCATAGTTAGATTTTTATTTAAGTAAAAAAAAACTTTTTATGTTGTTAAGATATTTATTTAGTTTTCAGTACATATATGATTGAATTAATAATAGGATGACATACAAATGACAGATATAGATACAGCTTGCATTATGAAGAATTTGGAATAAAAAGTACTCACAAATCAAACCATTAAAAAGCTACTCTTCAAGATATTAGTTTTACACAGCAGGCCTTCATGTCTCTTCATCACCGTTATAGTAGCAGGTGTTACACACATTTAATTTTTGCAAGTCAAAAAAAGATTCTTGAGTCTGGAAATTTCTTTCGTCTTGAGGAGAGGATTATACGTCACTATTTGTAGAATCATTCTTAAATCACCTTTTTTTGGCAGGTTAGAGCTCAGTCTTAAACAAGTAAGCAAGAGTAACTAAGAGTAATCATTTTCAGTCCATTTATAATTACATTCAAAAGAGGTTGACAAACATATGGCAGAAATAGATGTGATGAATTTGAAATAAAAAGTAGACACGAATCACACAATCACAAAGAAA